CGACGAACGAAGCGATCCAGAAAAGTTTTTCTTACCGCTAAGTAAATCTTTAATTTATACGCAACTATCGTCTACGACTGATTATTTTAATTGAATCTTTTTAATCGCAAATTTTTCCAGGAAGTTGAAATTTGATTTTTGTATAATTAATTTTATAATGCTTGCAATGAAATTTTCTAGTAAGCAAACAATAACCTTTCATAATAATTTATTAGAAATTTAATTAGGTTCTACAAAAAATAAATCAATAATTATGAGATACGCGATATAGGAATCGATAGTAGGATGTATGTGTGTTATATTTATTGAGATATATATATATATAAAAAAGTAAATGTTTCAATTTTTAATTTGATTTTCAGTGCAAAAACAATAAATATGTCGAATTATAAATGTATATATAGTGGCATAGTATTAGATAATATAGATAAATTCATTATTAGTAATTCAAATTTAGTATTAGATAAATTCATTTCATTTTGATTTAATCGTCAACTCGGACTTGAAATTTTATACAGACATCTCGTGGGACAAAAATTAAAATAAACGAGCTTGCCGGGAGCGCATTTGCTCGCGTTCTCTTTGAAAGCTGGAATTTTCATCATACATTAGAGCGTCGGGGGCTTTTGTATCAGAAACAAAATGGCGTCTCCACCATGCTTTTCCAAGAGAGAGGCGATAACGCGTGTATATGGCGGGGGTTGCACTGCTCGGCCACGGGGGTCGATCGCGTATGTGCCATTCAAAGTCGATGAAGAGGTGAGCCGTTTTCGCCGGGTGGACCTCGTAACTATCGATTGTGCTTCAAAGTCGATTGTGTCCCCATTATGTACGCAAGAGGGGGAGAAAGAAAACGTGGAGTAACGGCGAGGGATGTCGGGAGAAGGACGACTGTGCGGATCCCGGTAGAGTAAAAGGAGAAAGAGAGATAAAAGAAGGCTGGGAGAGGGAGAGAGAGAAAGAGAAAGGGACATCCCTAAAGTACGGGCCGTTCAATTGACTCCGCCATATTGAGTTTGGTTCTATGGGCTCTCGAGCACACGGGCTCTTGGAATTGAGACACGTTATACGAAGGTCCGTCGTCCGTAGCTGGAAGGAGCTTCCAGCTTCGGTAACTTCGTTACGGGGTTTCTACGTGAGCAAAATCCGAGCGGCCTGAGAGGGTATATCACTCGGCGGTCTCCAGCTTCGCAGAAGCCGGCGGCGTCGATATGGCTAATTAATTGTACATCGTTACATCCTTGGAGATATATTAGCGGAAGAATTAATTATAATATGCACGAGGAGAGAATACTTCTTTCTAAAACCAAAGGAAGAACTAATACGTTGTATGAATTGATTAATACTTCTTTGGATGCGTAGGCATGATATTAATACATTACAACGTGATAACTTTGACTCTTATTTATTTTAATGAATTGATGTCTAATTTAAAAGTAATTCTAAAAATATGTTTTACTTTTTGATAGTATCTAGTTTCAGTAATACTGTCTTTGGACACATAAATTTTCGCAAAATACGGATCGGAAGATTATATTGTCAATTTTTTTTTTTTTCGTGGTACCTTATACTAGCGCAGAAGTAGGATAGAACCGCGGAATATATTTAGCGCTCTCGAGCCTGTTTCCGATGGGCAGCAGGACCCTCGTAAACTCCCGGCCGCGATATGTATCAAATTATCCTTATAATAGAAAATGGCGGCAACTTTACACCTACCAGGTGTCGTGCTACGAGGCGCCGAGAAACGGTGTTCGCCATGAGAATAGCGCAGTGAATTACAATGCGTCTTCGCCACGCACAATAATGCCGCCACAATGCTCGTTTTTCGCGACAATGGGTGTTGCTTTAATGGGAGTCCGATTGCAACGGGTCTTTGCTGAAACCACCTTCACCACACGATTTTCCCGTGCGTGTAAACAGCAACCGTGATCTCTTTCTTCTTCTTTCACTTCTTCGGAAGTATCCATCGGGCGAGAAAAAAATACAGCTCGGCTATGCTTGCAACGTCAAGATTCTGAAACACGAAACGGCCAAGTAGCAGACACTTAAAAACGCCGGTCCGGTTTACGATCACCGAGAAACTCAAGGTATCGATCGCCGAATGTAATCTGTAACTCGATGGAAAAACTCGAGTAAATCTTGTCTGAGGATCATGTGGCAGATGGTTAATGAAAAAAATATAACTTAAAAAACGTCCAGGAAAAATAGGTAATTTCTTGACAAAAAATAAAAATAAATTGCAACATTATTCAAGTACAAATTAAATTGCGGTTTCTATTCTTGGTGTCGGTATGTTGCATTTACGAAAAAATCATTCCTAATCATTAGACTGATGTGATGATAAATATTACTTTCAATACGTCAAAACGAAACGATGTTTTCCCTACGGCTTAAACGTAACGATCGACCAGCAAAGTATGGCTTCTGCATCGTACATATTTATTCGATCGAGACGAGAGAAGTGAGAAATAATAACACGCATGAACAAAAGATCGATCCTTAGGCTCGCTCGCTTGTGCTAAAGTGAACTTGCACTTTAAGGAAGTGCGCTGGGTCGCAAATCAAAATGCAGTCGCTACCGGAAGGACACTCTAGCGACTGAAGAGTCCTTTGCTATTACTGTGAAGGACTTCGTAGTGCTTGACGAATCACTCATTAATTGCGTTCGTGACATGGCCCAGAACTAACAAACGGTTCCTTCGCTTCAAACACAATGATCCTTTTTTCTTTCGTCGTGTGCATTTTATCAATACATGCGAACAAAATCGATACAATTCTAGTGTACGCATAAAAGAAAAATAACGCGCACTAATAATCTGATCATACCTTTTTAGAAATTCTATCTAATTGAAAATCATCTCCAAAATACACGGTAACACAGAAGTATTAATTAATATATAAAATATATGTCGATTGTATAAATCTTAAAATTTTAAGAATATATTCTCAAAAAGATATTAGTAATAATATCCATTAATATTTTTCTAAATTTATGCAAATATATGTAATGTGTTATAAAATTAATAATATGTATGTACAAATAATATCCATGAAATGATTGTCTGATAAAATTTGCAATCAAAATTGTTTTTTGGGTGAAATATCTGGTAGACTCTCGTTATCTTTCTCTAGCTATTATTCTCTATTGTCCTAATGGTGGATATAATCATAAGATTCTCCTCCAGAGTCTCATTACGAATCAAGGGCCCCTTAATGGCTCCTATGAAACTTATTGGCCATTTAACGCCGAGGACACGCCGTGACTCGTTGGATGATTGACAGTTTCGAGAGCGAATTTTCTCGTCAACCGTTTCGTCTTACGTAATATTCCTTGACGAAATTTTTATTAATATTGCACGTATAAAATAATTTTACGTATGATCAAATTTTCATGTTCGTACAAGCTATAATAAATTACATCTACACTTTTTCTCTGTAAACCCTTTTAATAATAATAATTATGTGTGTTTCCAAAGATAGATAGTTACCGAGAAATTATATAACATCATAATTCCAGTGTTATTTTATATAGTAATTAGTATTACTTTTTTCTATATTATTATATTAATTTCTCTGTATATTATACAAATATTTCTCGTGTAATCGAATAGATTTGAAAAATGAAATGACAGAAAACATCTCAGTGTTGCTAATGTGACATCGTACGTGAGATATACGCGTAAGTTTTAACAATGGCAGTCTCTCCATACTTGCATACGTACGGCCGACACCCTTTACACGTTCCCCTTGCGGAAACGCGACGTCTCCATGGTTACAACATTGAAACCTCGCTGGGGGATGACAAAATGGAGAGGCGCAATACTCGGCCCGACAAAAGCGAAGTAGAATCGAAGAACGCCTTCGACTACGTGTACTCGTATTTGAAAGGTCGATTTCTATATACAAAGTGCTCCACGTAGTCGCACTTCGCTGATAATGCACTCGCTGATAATTAAAATCATTCTATGATGAAGAAAGTATAGCACTTTAGCGAATCAATTCAAGAGAGAGAGAGAGAGAGAGAGAGAGAGAGAGAGAGAGAGAGAGAGAGAGAGTAGTAGTTATT